AGTTGACACAGGTATTGTACACAGGTAAGTTGGGGAACTAGGGATCGAGCCCTGGGATCTGCATCAGCTACCTCGAACTGGTGAATACCGTTTCAAATGTCCGGAACCCCCAAAAAAACAAAACCGGGCCGGGAAAACCCCCAAAACAATTCTGGGGGCTTGGCTCCTCAGTGGGGAAGGGTCCTGGACCGTTTTTTTTTTTTTTTTTTTGGGCGGGGGGGGGGGGGGGGCAGATCCGGACCTTCCGGAGTCCGGACTGAATCCAGACCGTCTGGACGACGGTCCGGAAGACATGAAGAAAAGTTGCGGCCGTGAAACTCAGAAAAGAAGGGAAAAAAAAAAGGAGACTAAGCTTTGGCCGTGATTGCAGTTGTATACATTCTTGGAAGTGGTAGTGTGAGTGTGCCCTGAGTGAGGGCATCTCAGCCCCATAGTCAGGTTGTGAGATTCGAAAAAGAGAAGGGGAAAAAAAAAATGGGCATACTGCCGTGAAAATGGCTGCACACATTCCCCCAAGTGCCAGTGCGATGAGCGTTACAATCCTCTGACGAAACACAGCTTGAGCAGATCACGGATTCCGTCTTGCCTCGTTGGCAGGGGACTCGTCAGAAACACACGACAAAGAAAAAAAAGAAAACAGTAACATTCAGAATATGACCGCCTTACCGGTAAGGTGCATTCTGTGGAGGAAGACTGTCAGCACGGCCAGACTGCCAATCCAACAGACAACTACTTGATCTTGCAAAGTATGCAGATACGATCTGCATCCGCCCCCACATTTTAGTGCCCACATATGGTCTGCTGTTGGATTTCACCGACCCTGCATCACTTGGCATTGCCCTCACCCACAGGGGGGAGGGGGGGGATTGACCTAGAAGGCTAGAAGTCATCAAAGGCCAGGCAAAGCATTACCACGAGTCACAACAGCATTGGCTGTGTGTGGCCTACACACAACCTTGCAACCCCTTCGCGGACGGTACGGCCACAGCCCTTCACAAGTACTTCGGCTGCGGCTCAAGATTTTTTGTTTTCTTTTTATGTGGTTAGTTTTTTTGTTCTGTTTTTCCTTCTTTTTATGTGGTTCTCGTTCTTAGGTTTTTTGTTGTTTTCAGTTTTTATGGTTGCGGCTCCCGTTCCATGGAAGTGCACACACAGGATGCTATTCCACATCCTTTTCTTGAGACTTTCATGGGAAGGATGTGAGGAGAATACTCCTCTGAGAAGGATGCGGGGATAATATTATTTGCCTCCTGTCGATAAGGGGACAGCAGGAGACAATAAGGTTGAAGAGGAAATGATGACGTTGAGATTGAGTTGACACGTCACACTGTCACACCCCAAAATCCGTGTTTTATCCTTCCAAACATCTGCAAAATTGGAACAATCCAGAGAAGAGTAGTATGGCTCCTGCTGAAGGATGACATTACCCATCCCATGATTCCCATGATCCATCTAAAACATTTCAACCTTCGGCATGCGCTGACACCTTCTGCAGGCTCGGTAGAGACTCAAGGCAGGTTGACATCTTTGTCTTCTTTTTCTTGAAAAGGCTAAGTATTGAGTCATAGCAAGAATGGAGAACTGAGGCTGGGTTCCTCAGAATTCTACCCCGCCATGCTTGGGCTATTACTCAGCTTTGGCTGGTACTGGAAACCGGATCCAGCGTCCCAGTATTACTGGTAGCAGATGGGACCTACCAGGCCCAGTGCAGCCTGCTTAGTCAGAACTTGAGTAAACCCGACAAAAATCCAACCAGCCTAATACAGCGTGGTGTCTTTTTCCCCACTCTGTAGACAAACTCTACCGTTTTGCCTTTCGGCATTGGCATGGCGACCCATACTGACTCGTATAACCCCCCTTCCCAGTTCCCTCGACCTTCTCCTTCCACGTTACCTGGAAGCCTTCCCCCACCAACCCCTGGGCCCCCAACTTCCGCACATCCCTATACAACTGATACTTCTTCCCTCCCCTCTGCCTGTCGGCCAAGGTAGGATCTTCCCGAACACCTGCCAATGGGGTGTGGTCGCGGCGGATAGGAGATCCTTTAGTACCGCTGGGATCGAAGGGGTGGGACTGGGAATAGGGCTCACTTGTACATTTACGCCCACCTCACAGGGAAGGAATCTCTCCAGTGCACCTGGATCAATTGGGACAGGTGTGGAATCAGGACATCATGGGCAAAACCTGTAATTTTTTATTTTTTTTGCACCCGCTTTGAAAGGTGATACGAGTATCCTCCCTCCCAAAGTGGCCTCCCAGGTTGAAGCCCCCAATCTATCAGTGCGGAGCATGCTGGAAAACGGGTCCAGCCTCCCTTAACCGAACAGCAGACAGTTCCAACCACCAGTACATCCATGCCTCTTTTGTACGAGGCGGATCGCCAATACGCGCCAAGCTTTGATGAAACACCACCGCGGGGATTTTGATTTTTGTTTTGCCCGAGCCCCCAATTTTTTCAGAGAGGCTGAATCATGATACTCAATGTGGTTGGGGCCATGTACTGGTGGTTTAACATACTTTGAGCCGTTGCATACAGCAGCCTAGCTCAACAGGTTAGGCACGCAAGTGGCATTCAAGAGGTTGTGGGTTCAATCCCCATGGCCGCCTGCGGTACGCTGGTGCCAACTAGCTGAGATTGTCAGCTTGATCCCCCTAGTCTGTATCAGCAGGGTCTCCAGCTAACAACATGGGTGTGAGTGTGAGTGTGAGTGGATTGTGTATGGTGTGTGGGAGAGTGTT